GCTGGTCAATGTTTCTATCTCTCTACCCTCCCCCTGCCTCTCTGTAATAAGCCAATAAAATATATAAAAAATAAAAAAGAATCCTCCTAGGAGCCTTGGTTGGTTGGAGCTTCGTCCGGTACACCTTCTGGTATACCAAAAGGATTAGGGTTTGATCCCCCTCCAAGGAAGATACCTGGGATGCAGGTTCAATCCCTGTTCAGGGATACAGGAGGCTACTGACCTATGTTTCCCTCTCTCTAAAAAATCAATTAAAAAAAACATATCCAAACACCAAAACCAGAGCTTAGGCTCACAGTCTTGCACGATTGGCTAATTTAAAGGAAAAAGGAAGGGGTTGATCTTTGCCATTTTAAAATGGCAGCCCCCTAGGGAGCTGCAAGAGCCAAAATGGTGGCTGCCTAAACTCCCTTCTTTGACAGAAAAGATTACATGTGTATTCTCATAATTCCCCCCTTTTCTTTTCTTTCCTTTCCTTTCCTTTTCTTTTGTTTATATTTTTATTGACTTCAGAGAGGAAGGGAGAGGGAGATAGAAACATCAATGATGAGAGGGAGTCATTGATCGGCTGCCTCCCACACGCCCCCTACTGGGGATCAAGCCCGAAACCTGGGCATGTGCCCTTGATGGGAATGGAACCTGGGACCCTTCAGTCCACAGGCTGACGCTTTATCCACTGAGCCAAACAAGCTAGGGTCCCCCTTTTCTTATTTAACTTTTCTTCAAACTCGGCTGACATTCATTGACTTTCGTGCTCTGCAGTGTCTATGAGGAGGAGATTATTTTGCTGTTTGGTCAATGCGGTTTCAATTAACCTTTGGATAAGGCTCCTCATACATGGGATGATACAACATCCCATCTCTGTAACTCCTAACACGATTAACAAAGAGGTGAATATGGATACCATCATCTCCTTCCATTTTCTGAACCATTGCTCTAGTACAGTGATGGCAAACCTATAACATGCATGTCAGAGGTGACACTCGAACTCATTTTTTTGGTTGATTTTTCTTTGTTAAATGGCATTTAAATATATAAAATAAATATCAAAAATATAAATCTTTGTTTTACTATGGTTGCAAATATCAAAAAATTTCTATATGTGACACAGCACCAGAGTTAAGTTAGGGTTTTTCAAACTGCTGACACGCCAAGCTCAAAAGGTTCGCCGCCATCACTGCTCTAGTAGATTGGAGAAAGGATCCTCAATTCCAGGATTCTCAGCTAACTCATTGCCTAAAGTTGTTAATCCCTGCAGGGCCTTAGTAATGGTTCTGTCTGGAGCTGTGTTGTCAGGGATGAATGTACAACACTGGCCTCCCAACATTACACATATTCCTCCTTTTTCTGCCAGAATCATATCCAAGGCCAATCTACTAGTATTCTCCCATGCTATCCTGCTGGTAGCATCTACTTGTTCAGCTATACTTATACCTGTTCATATTGGGTATAGTTAACAAACCTTTGTTGATTATGGTAAATATTAGAGGCTCCATGCACAGA